CGCTTCACCCCCCACTCAAGGCCTGACAGGGAACCATGCTGTGGTGGGCCGGAGCTCTCTGGGCTCTCCCTGTAGCATTGAGTTCCTGGTGAAACATGGCAAGACAGTCTGAGATTCTCTGGCTGGAGCCTTAGTGATGGAGCTTGTCCCCTCCCTCACATGCTTGCTCACAGGGAGCCATCCAAACCCAAAGCTTGTGAGATGGGGAAGAAACAGTGAAACTGAGCTGACAGGGCCCTATGCCTGTGCAGGGAAGCCTCCATTTCCAGGCATCTCTAGGAACCTGTGCACTCCCCTCTGCCCAATAGGATCTCTCCGGACCATTCGCTTTTAATGACTTTCACTTCCTGGCTTGTCCCATGGCCTTTCCCTGGTTACTCATAGACATCTGATCTAACTGGTTCTGCTACTTCTGGCAAAGTCCTAAAGGTGACATTATCCGGCATAAGTTCCATAGACTCACTTTCATGGAAATAAATATTCAGTGTTGCCAACTCTTGTGATTTTGTCCTGAGTCTCATGGTAATTATTGTTTCCTTAAAGTCCCGGCTCCTGGAGTCAAGTGGGATATGCAATGATTTCCGCCTTCAGTCTTATAGAAAAAGTTACTTTCCAGCCCTCATGGATGTAGAGAAAGCTTCAAAATGTGACCGCAGTGCACCCGACAGGCTCAAAAAGGCACATAAAAAGAACACCATATTATTTGTACATAATCTCCATGATTTTAAAGCCAGTATCATGATTTTTGGTAGACCTAATGATTTTTGGACATTTGCAGTTGGCAATATAAGTGTCTCCAACAGGTCTGTGTGACATGGTTCCTCAAACTCCCTGCATGCACAGAGTTTGCTGGATCTCAGCTGTAGTGATGAAGGGCTAATAAAGTTAGTGTTACAGTGAGACATCTACCAATCAGAACTATCCAGGGAATAATTAGGAACTCTCAACTATTCGAAAAGCAGAGTACTCCTCATAGAAGGAAGTGGGGGAGAATGAATTCACTCCCCAAGCTTGCTTAAGCCATATTTAACCTGTGTGATATCTAGGCCTGAAGAAAGTAGAGGAGTAACTGGAGTAAGGCCAGCTGGAGGCGAACTTCCCTGGAGGCAGAGAACTGGGCAGAATTCCTCAGTGCTTACTGTCCCTACGTGCAGTTTTGTTGTCTTGTCTTTTAATTTGTTTTGTGGTGAATGACTCATGATTTACTCTCATGATAGCGAAACAAAACCGCTTGTGAATAAATCATTTACCAAGAGGTGGCTTAGATGTTTCTGGCTTCCACAAACGAAATGGAAAGATGGCAAAAAGCAAATGTATGCTCTGCCCTGGCAAAGAGCTTGGGGGGAACCAGCAGGCTGAGTGAGAGGGTGACACATAATGGAGACTCTCTCTCCCACCATTCATTGGCCTGTGGGGTCTGTGTCTACAAGGTCATCACAATTGGCACTAACTGTCCCCTTTTGTGGCAGCCTGAGCTTAGGCCAAGAAATGACAAGGGGGTTGAGAATTAAATACCCTCTCCCCATGGAGGTGCTTCCTCCAGGTGCATGGTCTGGGAAGGGGGAAGAAACGATTGTTGCTCGGTGGGTGAAGGGGTCAGATGAGGAGGGGTAGCCCCTTGCCACCCGCTACTTGGGCCAAGGTTCTCTTGGCTGATCTGCCCAGTCTCCTCGCTCTCCCTCCCTCTGGGGCCTGTCTTCCCTTCTAGGGTTCTGCTCCTCACCCTGCTGCTTCCAGTGGGGCTGGAGCCAGGTTCCCCTGACCCCCCCCCCCCCCCGGCTGCTGCTCCTGCCATTCGTCCCGGGACAGCCCCGTCAGTTCGCCTGCTCCCCTGCACATGCTGCAGCTGCTGCTCCTCCCACAGGGGCGCCCCTCAGCAGTTCTCCACTCCCGCAGTGGTCCCAGCCAGGATGCTCCCCAGCCCTTCAGGCATGTCTGCCGCCCCTGCGCTGAACAGGGGTCCAGGGCTCCCACAGGGGGACCAGGCCGAGGATGGAGATGGCCAGCTGAGGCCAGCACTCGGGCTCCTGGTGCCGTTAGGCCCCGTGGGGTGGGCGGGAGCCGAGCTGGGGAAGGCGGGGAGGCTGGCAGCACGGCAGTGCCCGCAGGTGGGAGCTGGCTGGGCTGCAGGGACAGGCGGACAGCGGCCCAGGCAGTCTCCCTGCAACCTCCGTCTGTGCCACCCCACCAGGCTCTCCTGTGGCACTCAGCAGGCCCTGGCTGCGGGCCCTTCACAGGAGAGCTTCAGCAAAGTGCAGGAGCTCCCCGCCGCGCCTGGCTGCTGGCTCTGCACTGCCCGGCGAGCTCTCTGTGTGTGCCACTGGAAACCACTGGCCACTAAATGGCGCAGCCGGGCAGCATTTTCCTTGGCCCCGCTGCCTCCCAAACTGCCTTCCCGCAGGTGCGCATGTGCTAGGGCCTGGGGGCGAGCGACCTGCAGTCTGCCTGGGGAGCAGCCAGCGCAGCACCTGGCTGGGGATCAGGGGGCGGGCGACCTGCAGTCTGCCTGGGGAGCAGCCGGCGCAGCCCCTGGCTGGGGACAGGGGGCGAGTGGCCTGCAGTCCATTCCTGCCATAGTACCTAGGGATAGGTTAGTCCTCACCCCCGGACGGGAGCAAACGGGTATTCGTGTAGCGTGGCTGCTGCAATCTCATCCCAGAGGTGGTTGCATTTCAGTGGTGGGTGAAGGAGTCCCAACAGCCTGGGAATCCTACTGGGTGAAAGGTGATCACTTGAATTCGATGTACTGTACAAGTGACGCCTGTCAGAGCTCAATAAGAGCCACCCTCTGATGGCTACCTACTAGCTGGGGAATGATGTCCTGTCTCCATTTGTCATTCCTGTCCATTCCTAATCCACTGGCAGGATGCTGTGTAGGCCAATGCTGGCTCTGTCTCTCCCACAGTAAGGTGAGGATTTTCCTAGTTGCTTTTTGCTGGGACATCTTTTCAGTTCCTGAGAATTTGTTATTTAGCACTCCCCCAATTTTTGTGTCACCTGCAAACCTTATCAGTGATCACTTTATGTTTTCTTCCAGGTCATTGATAAAAATGTTAAATAGCGTAGGGCCAAGAACCGATCCCTGCGAGACCCCACTAGACTTGATTGCCAGTTTACAATTACATTTTGAGACTTATAAGTTAGCCAGTTTTTAATCCATTTAATGTGTGCCAGGTTAGTTTTATATCATTCTAATCTATTAATCAAAGTGTCCAGTGTCATGTGGTACCAAGTCAAATGCCTTACAGAAGTCTAAGTGTATTACATCAACATTATTACCTTTATAAACTAAAGTTGTAATCTTATAAAAAAAAGATATAAGGTTAGTTTGACAGGATCTGTTTTCCATAATCCCATGTTCATTGGCATTAATTATATTATGCTCTTTTAATTGTTAATATTAATTGAATCCCATACCAGTTGCTCCATTAGTTTGTCCAGGATCGATGACAGACTGACAGGCCTGTAATTACCTGGATTATCCCGTTTACCCTTTTAAAATATTTGCACAACTTTAGCTTTCTTCCAGTCTTCTGGAACCTGCTGAGTGTTCCCAGCCTTATAGAAAATCCACTTTAACAGTCCAGAGAATTCCTTGGTCAGCTCTTAAAAAATTCTTGGATATAAATTTTCTGGACCTACTCATTTAAAAATTTAAAAAGCTCTATTTTTGCAGCCCCTGTTTAACTTCCTCCTGAGTTACTGCTGGAAAGGAACATGGATCACTGCGGGGAGGTCTCTGGATAGTTCAGGGCAGGGATCTGGGCAGTGTAACTTGTTACTGTGTTTCGTTTGATCGTCCCAGTGATTCATATGTTGGTGTTTTAGGTTCTGGTCTAATGTTATGAGTAACGTCCCAAGCTATTTGCAGTACACAACGACAATTTTATTGATCCTACAAAATTCAGGACCTGTGCTACATATTTCGGAGTACCATCTCCTGGCACCTTATCTGTCAGCTAACAAGCTTGCACAGCTCCAGCATTTATAAGCTTCTCTCTGTTTGTATGTCCAACAGCTTCTGTTTGTGTGTGTGTGTGCACACATGTGGGTTCCTACACCTAGACGTTTCTCCCTTTCAGTGTGTGGAGTATGTTTGCTTGTGTATGTCCTGCATTTTCTTTCTTTGCGTGTGTGTATGGTTGTATCTAGTCAAGGAAGAGTGGATTTAAGCCTGGGACTCAGGTGATCTGGACACAATTGGTAGTTCTACCAGAGATTTCCTGTGTGACCTTGGGTGCGTTGCACGGAGTTCAGTTTTCAGGTGCTCAGTATCTACAACTGGAGCCAAGTTTTCAAAACAGCGCAGCACCCAGCATGCTCAGCTCTTCTGAAAACCTGGCCATTTACTTCGGTCTCTAAATGGGCGGTGAGCTCTTTTGAAAAACTGGCCCTGATGGTGGGTGCTGAGCTCTTTGCAAACTATGGTACTTAATCTCTCTGGGCCACAGTTCCCTATCTGTATGATGGGGATAATAGCATTTCCCTACTCACAGGGTGTTGTGAGGACAAGTTCAGTAATGTCCATTGGGTGCTCAGAGTGATGGGCGCTATAATATTACCTAGATTGATACGCAGCCCCTGAGAGGGTGCACCTCTAACAGCTTCTTTCTCTCAAAATCCATAGTTCTTAAGGCCAGAAGGGACTATTAGACCATCTAGCCTGAGCTTAACAGCCATAGAATTTCATCCTGTTGCCTCTGTATTGAGCCCGAATACTTGTGTGTGGCTAAAGCATCTTCCTGAAAGAGATGGAGAATCCACCACTGCCCTTGGTGAATTGTTCCAGTGGTTAATCACCCACACTGCTAAACATGTGTGCCTTCTTTCTAGTTTGAATTTGTCTGGTTTTAACTTCCAGCCATTGGTTCTTGTTCTGCCTTGCTCTGCTAGATAAAAGAACCTGATATTTTCTACACAGGGAGGTATTTATGCACCACGATCAAGTCACCTCTTGCTCTTTTGTCCATTTATTTTCGCACTGTCTTTGTGTTTTTTAGAGAAGACACTTTGAATGGTTTATGAGAAGAAAGCAAGATGGATGGAAGTCAGTCCAGCACTGAGTCTCCCACAGCTCCCAAGAAGATCTCTCTGCTTTCCTCTCCCATGCGGGCAGTCATCCGTCTGCGACGAAAAGTCCAGTTCCTGAAGAAAAACCGCCTGCATCTGAACCTTCCCAGAGAACAATCTCCAGAGCTGGTCCAAACTAGGCTTCTTCAAAGGCAGATTTCCTTGACCCAAACGAACCTTTATAACCCTTCGATGTCCCTCTTTAATCAAGCCACCTTTGCCAATTCTCAATACTTCACCTTTGACACTTCTGTGGACCAGTCAGCTCTGAATAAATACAAACGGAAGAAGAGCCGCAGGAAGTCCAGGGTGGTGTTGTATCCAGAAAGCTCCAAAAAGTACCTTCCAGCAGAGCAAAAGAGTAAAGCAAAGCGCTGCCTTCTCTTGCTCATTGGCATCATCTGCTTCCAAATACTAAATGCTATTGAGAATCTGGATGACAACCTTCAGAAGTATGACCTAGATGGGCTGGAGAAAACCATGCACCGGGAAGTATTTGGGCAGAAGGTGGCCGTGGACAGGATTATGGAATTGTTGAACGAATACCTGGCCACCCACATACACAACAAGCCATTAGTGATCTCCTTCAATGGCCCACCTGGGGTTGGAAAGAGCCATGTTGGATGGCTGCTGGCTAAACACTTCCGTTCAGTCATGGACAATGACTTTGTGCTTCAGTACTTTGTGATGCACCACTGTCCAAACAAGGAGGCTACTCCTGCTTGCCAATTGGATTTGTCTGAGAAGATTTCTGAGATGGTCACCAGAGCAGAAATAGAAGAGAAGATACCATTGTTTATTCTGGATGAGGTTGAGCTCATGTCTCCAGTTCTGTTGGATACACTCAGCAGATTCTTCCAACCAAACCAAACCAACGAGTTCCTCAATGCCATCTACATTCTAATAAGCAACATAGGGGGCAATGAAATCACGACGTTTGTCCTCCAGAATGTTTCCACTGACCTTCTGCACCAGCAAAGAAAAAGAGAAGAACTGCTGTATGTTATCCAGCCTATTCTGATCCACTTCCACCCTCTTTGGAAGTCTGCTGACATCATCCCATTTGGTCTGTTGGAGAAGAGTCATGTCATAAACTGCTTCTTGGAGGAGATGATGCGGGAAGGGCTATATCCCGATCAGAGCCATATTGAGAATTTAGCTAGCCAGCTCAGCTATTACACTACAGCAGGCAGGGAGTACGCCATAACTGGCTGCAAGCAGGTCGGAGCCAAAGTCAATCTACTGTAGCAGCAACCATAAATAAGAGGCCGAATCCTGTTCTCAGCACTTTGCACTCAGTGGAGATAGCCTGGCTGAACACTGGCATGACTGACAGCAGATTTTGGCCCAAGATGCATTTCCTCAAGAGGACAGATATGAAGCTATCCCAGTGACCACCTTATAAGAGGGTTCCAGGAGGCAGAACAGCAGCTGTCACTGCTTCAAAGATGAGCTCTGTTCTCCTATTGATTTATCGGACTTGAGTCACTGAACTCCCACTGTCCTGCAAATAATCCCCTGTTGACTAAGGCCAGGATATCTCTCTGAGGCCGGGTCTGAGCCCAGGCACAAGCCAAACCCCCTTGTGTCCACACTGCAAATGTGCTAGCCTAGGGCTCCAGACCCAAGGTCCTAGGACCCTGCAGGGCTGGAGGATCCGAGCCCTATTGCTTTCTTGTGTGCACGCGACCCCGACTTGAGTTAGGTCTGGAAGTCCTCTGGATGTATCCCAGAGTTCCCGGCGGCAGAGGAGCAGCGCTGCAAGCAGCCAGTGCAGCAGCTGGAAGCACTATTACTGCCTGGCAGAGCGCGCTCCCTGTTCCTGCTCCTCTCACAGTAGCTGCTCCGGCTCCTCCTCACTACTGCGCGGAGTTTGCCCGGAGCAGGGAGCAAAGCTGGCAGGTGGGAGGTGGCTCCCGGGGGTCATCCCTCTGCTGGCCGGGCTGAGCCAGAAGCTCTGCCGCTCGCCCTCTGTGCAGGGCGGAGCTTGGTTCTTCTCTGCTCTCTGTGCCCTGCTCCTGGGCCCACCCTGCCCTCCCTGGGGCTGCATGTGCAGGGGCACCCGGGCAGTGTGCACTGTCAGGGTGGTGAGTAGGAGCCAGCCCCCAAAACTTCCCCACAGCCTCCTGGGAATCCCTTATCCCTGCCTCCCGGGGTGCGGCAGGAGCTATGCTTCACCCCAAGCCTCGGCCATGCACTTCACCGCTCTGCAGCCAGCAGCAGCCAGGCTGGGTGTGTGTGTGTGTGGGCAGTGAAGGAGTGTTTTTCCTCTGATACCTTCATTTTAGCTCAAACTTCTGTGCCCTGCAGTGTGGATGCCAGTGCCCTAGGTTTGAGCACGGGTCAGAAAATCCTTAACCTGGGGTTAAAATGCAATGTAGACACTCAAGCCCAGGGTTCCCTGACACAGGTCAGCTGACTCGAGGCCCACTAACCCAAGGCTTACATTGTTGTGTAGACAGCCTCCAGTCATATTGTAACCTCTTTGGTGTCCCTCCTACACACGTGCCCAGGAGTTTATTCATCGGTGATGTGTCAACAAGTCTAGGAGATGAGAATAAATCCCCCAGTATATGTACACGGCAGGAGCGATTTAATGTCGGGGAGATGGGGAGACCTTTGGGGTGACAGTCTCATCAGCACACTTAGCTGGGTCTCACTTGTCTTCAAACTCAGAATCTGCAATCTCTTTGCCTTTCCGGGGTCTGGCTGGACCTGGGATAAAGGCTAACTGGCTTAAGATCAGTCTAGCCAAGCTAGAGATGATGCTGGCATGTAGGGGAAACATTTGGAATAGCTGATGCAGACTGTGACTGTTACCCACTGATCTTTGGTGTCAGAATTATGCATTCTTGGGTTCTTTTTCTCCCCTGCTGCTCTTGGATTCCCCAGCAACAGCAGTCTCCTGGAATATGTGCTACCATCTCTGGTTGCCTTAAAAGTTGTAGCCCTTTATACCTGATGCAGACTGTGCCTATGTCACTTCCAGGCTGTATTCCTGCAACACACTTTTCTTGGGACTACCCTTGAAGACTACTTGGAAGCATCAGCTAGTGGAGAATGCAGCTGCCTGCTTGTTAAGGTCTTCCTCATGTGGCCTTTGGTATAAACTCTGCTGCTTGTTTGTTTCTGCGTACAATTCACAGCACTGATTATCTAGAGAGCCCGTAAATGGGAATTCACAGATGCAAGGTAATGCGCATTTTGAACTGTTGATGCACATTGCTGGGTTCAAAAACTACTCCAGAACAAGTGTTGGGCATCATGTGAACAGCTCTGTGAAACCTGTCCTCACTGTGCAGCAGCCGTCAAAAACAAAAATATTAAATTGCAGGAGGCATAGGAGAGGAAACAGCAATGAAAAGTATTATAATGCCATTGTTCTGGAGTGACAGTACCTCTCTACTGTTAACGGTTGCCACCAGCAGCCCTGTTTTAGTCCTGCTGTAACCCTAGGTTGGAAATCTGATACAAGCAAAGTTTGAAGGAAATGTATACACTTGCCTTGGAGTTCCAGGTCTTTATAATATTCCCCCGATTGGAAATATTGTCTGTTGTCTAACCTTTCTGCATCTCCGTCTAGCTCAAAATCAGTTTGTTGCCTTCACACTTCCTGTACAGTTAACTCTCCTTGAACATTTCTGTGCTGTGGAAGAATTGATGAAAATAGCATGTAATTAAGCAAAGGTGTTGGTGATATTTTTTGTATAGGCCCAATCCTGTTTGCATTGATTTCATTAGAATTATGTGAATAATGGATTTTTTTTTACTGGGCATTCTGAAATATAAATCAAAATTTGGTTTGGAGCTGTTTTTTTTTTTTAATTTTTTTTAATATTCTAAAAATAAAATGGAAGTCAATTTCAAAAAGAAAAGTCCTTTTGAATCAAATCCCCCAAATATTTCATTTGGAAAATGTCGAAACAATGTTTTGATTTTTCTTTTGGAGAAGGGCATCAACTGAAACAAAATGCATCTATTTTCTGCATCTATCAGAAAAAAAAAAGGTTTCAGACCAAAAATCTTTCCCAGCTGTACATTTTAATGGAAGTTCTGGGTCCGATCCTGTCCCTTTGATTTCAACAAGAGGGATTTTTTCTCCTTGACACCAGTGAATGAGCATGAGGCATGGTGTGTGTCTGTTGTCCGGAAGCTGAACTGAAGAGGCTGGCTCTACCTAAGTGCCGAACGCGAGTGCTTCTTTTAGCTCAAGTGTTGGGGTTCATGAGGAGCTTGTCTCCTCTCCGTGGTGAAAGACGCAGCCCAACCACCACTCACTCACTGGCACTCAAAAATCATTCTGCAAGGTTTTGAATTTTTAGGGCTCACTCTCCGGCAGCTGTTCTGAAAATCTGGAGCAAGCACAGTGGGAACTTTCTGAGATCCAGCCGTAATAATGACTCCCTTTCAAGAAAAAAAGCCGGGGTTTGTGTCTGTCTCCATCAGCCCTGACATGACAACAGGCTATTGCTGCCTGTAGGAGGCACCCCCAACACATTGCTCTCTCTGCCACCTCGCTCCATGTCTGTTTTGCCCCATGGCTTCCCCCTGCTGCCTCCTGATGCTCCCCCAGAGCTCACCCCTCCTGCCCACTACTATACCCCTATTGGCTCATGCCCCTCCCCCCAGCCCCTCCCCCCAGCTGCTTCAGCCTTCCCTCCACTGGTACCCGGCCCCCTTCCCTGCTCCCGCTACCCAACTCCACTGTGTCACTCCTTGATAGATCTGCCTGCTACATTTGCCACCTCAGTGCCTGGCCCTTGCTACCCTTGCAGTGCTTGGACTGCTGCCCCGATCCCACACAGCACTCTCAGCCACACTGCGACCTTCTCATATTTCCTGGTCCTTCCCCGCCCTCCGCCCATCTCCACTGCTGCCCCTGACAGCCCCAAACCCCATTACTGCTCCCTCTGATTCCCTCACCTGCCATTGCTTCTCCTCCACTGATATCCCTGCTGCCTCAGTTTCCCCACTGCTCTGCTCCAGCCACCATTGCCACCCCAGCCTGTGGCCTCGGCACCCCCGCAGCTGGCATTCTTACCGTTACACACTCCATTGGGACAACTCCACTCCCTGACCGCTCTTCTCTGTCTCCTCCACCTACATCTAGCACACCACCCCATCATCCTTCCTGCTGCTGTAACCCTGGACCCTCTTCTCCTCTGGGCTCTGAGACGTAGCTGTCCAGCCAGGCCTGCATGCAGAATGCAGTGCAGCCAAGGTTCACATTGTAGATGGAGCGTCATTTGGTGTTTTTAATTTGAATCATGGATTTCTTTGTCTTTGTGCAGTTAAGCCCAGATCCTGGGTTTTTCAGTGTGAATGCCCTGACCAGTATACAATTTGTCTCTTCCCTGCCTCACTTTCCTATTAGGTGTTTAGAGGGAGAGCATGAGTGGCTGGAGCACTGTGAATCAGGCAACCTCTGTTCTCGTTTAGGTTCTACACAGGGGAAGGCAAACTACAGCCTACAGGCTGTATCCAGCCTGTCAGACATTTTAATCCAGCCCTCGAGCTCCTGCCGGGGAGCAGGGTCGGGGGCTTGCCCTACTCCATGTTTGCCATGCCTCTGCATGGCTCCCAGAAGCAGTGGCATGCCCCTGCTCTGGCTCCTATGCGTAGGGGCAGCCAGGGAGCTCTGCACACTCCTCTGCCCCAATAACTGCCCCTGCAGCTCCCTTTGCCTGGGAGCTGCAGGGGCGATGCCTGGAGACGGGGCAGCATGCAGAACTGCCTGGTCACGCCTCCAAGTCGGAGCCGGAGGCGGGACATGCCGCTGCTTCCAGGAGCTGCTTGAGGTAAGCGCCTCCCAGAGCCTGCAACCTGACCCCCTCCTGCGCCCCAATCCTCTGCCCTAACACTGATCCCCCTCCCACCCTCCAAACCCCTCGGTCCCAGCTCAGGGCACCCTCCTGCCCCTCAACCCCACATGCCTCCCCCCCCTCCCCAGCTGGAGCCCCCACCTCCTCCCGTATCCCAACCCCCAATTTCGTGAGCATTCATGGTCCACCATACAATTTCCACACCCAGATGTGGCCCTCAGGCCAAAAAGTTTGCCCACCCCTGTTCTACCATGAACTCGTTGTGTGACCTTGAGTAAGTCACTGCCTGTCTCGGAGCCTCGGCTTCTCTTCTGTAAAATGGGGATAATGGTACAGACGCAGCTCGAGGCATTCATGTTTGTAAATCACATTGTGGTTCCCAGATGGAAGGCTCTATAGGAGGGCAGAGCCTTTAGTCACCACGAGTAAAGTACTACAGGAGAGCCTCAGAGTTACAAACACCAGAGTTACGAACGGAATGGTCGGCCGCACACCTCATTTGCAACAAGGCCCTGGTCTACACTAGGACTTTAGGTCGAATTTAGCAGCGTTAAATTGATGTAAACCTGCACCCGTCCACACAATGAAGCCCTTTATTTCGACTTAAAGGGCTCTTAAAATCGATTTCCTTACTCCACCCCTGACAAGTGGATTAGCGCTTAAATCGACGTTGCCGGCTCGAATTTGGGGTACTGTGGACACAATTCGATGGTATTGGCCCCCGGGAGCTATCCCAGAGTGCTCCATTATGACCGCTCTGGACAGCACTCTCAACTCAGATGCACTGGCCAGGTAGACAGGAAAAGAACCGCGAACTTTTGAATCTCATTTCCTGTTTGGCCAGCGTGGCAAGCTGCAGGTGACCATGCAGAGCTCATCAGCACAGGTGACCATGATGGAGTCCCAGAATCGCAAAAGAGCTCCAGCATGGACCGAACGGGAGGTACGGGATCTGATCGCTGTTTGGGGAGAGGAATCCGTGCTATCAGAACTCCGTTCCAGTTTTCGAAATGCCAAAACCTTTGTGAAAATCTCCCAGGGCATGAAGGACAGAGGCCATAACAGGGACCCGAAGCAGTGCCGCGTGAAACTGAAGGAGCTGAGGCAAGCCTACCAGAAAACCAGAGAGGCGAACAGCCGCTCTGGGTCAGAGCCCCAAACATGCCGCTTCTATGATGAGCTGCATGCCATTTTAGGGGGTTCAGCCACCACTACCCCTGCCGTGTTGTTTGACTCCTTCAATGGAGATGGAGGCAATATGGAAGCAGGTTTTGGGGACGAAGAAGATGATGATGAGGAGGAGGTTGTAGATAGCTCACAGCAAGCAAGCGGAGAAACCGGTTTTCCCGACAGCCAGGAACTGTTTCTCACCCTAGACCTGGAGCCAGTACCCCCCGAACTCACCCAAGGCTGCCTCCTGGACCCAGCAGGTGGAGAAGGGACCTCTGGTGAGTGTACCTTTTAAATACTATACATGGTTTAAAAGCAAGCATGTGAAAGGATTACTTTGCCCTGGCATTTGCGGTTCTCCTAGATGTAGTCCTAAAGCCTTTGCAAAAGGTTTCTGGGGAGGGCAGCCTTATTGCGTCCTTCATGGTAGGACACTTTACCACTCCAGGCCAGTAACACGTACTCGGGAATCATTGTAGAACAAAGCATTGCAGTGTATGTTTGCTGGCATTCAAACAACATCCGTTCTTTATCTCTCTGTGTTATCCTCAGGAGAGTGAGATATAATTCATGGTCACCTGGTTGAAATAGAGTGCTTTTCTTCAGGGGACACTCAGAGGAGCCCATTCCTGCTGGGCTGTTTGCCTGTGGCTAAACAGAAATGTTCCCCGCTGTTAGCCACAGGGAGGGGGGAAGGTTGAGGGGGTAGTCACGCGGTGGGAGGAGGCAAAATGCGACCTTGTAACGAAAGCACATGTGCTATGTATGTAATGTTAACAGCAAGGTTTGCCCTGAAAGAGTGTAGCCACTGTTTTATAAAATGTGTCTTTTTAAATACCGCTGTCCCTTTTTTTTCTTTCCCACCAGCTGCATGTGTTTCAATGATCACAGGATCTTCTCCTTCCCAGAGGCTAGTGAAGCTTAGAAAGAAAAAAAAAACGCACTCGCGATGAAATGTTCTCCGAGCTCATGCTGTCCTCCCACACTGACAGAGCACAGACGAATGCGTGGAGGCAAATAATGTCAGAGTGCAGGAAAGCACAAAATGACCGGGAGGAGAGGTGGCGGGCTGAAGAGAGTAAGTGGCGGGCTGAAGACAGGGCTGAAGCTCAAATGTGGCAGCAGCGTGATGAGAGGAGGCAGGATTCAATGCTGAGGCTGCTGCAGGACCAAACCAGTATGCTCCAGTGTATGGTTGAGCTGCAGCAAAGGCAGCTCGAGCACAGACTGCCACTGCTGCCCCTCTGTAACCAACCGCCCTCCTCCCCAAGTTCCATAGCCTCCACACCCAGGCGCCCAAGAACGCGGTGGGGGGGCCTCCGGCCAACCAGCCACTCCACCACAGAGGATTGCCCAAAAAAAAGAAGGCTGTCATTCAATAAATTTTAAAGTTGTAAACTTTTAAAGTGCTGTGCTTAAAGTGCTGTGTGGCATTTTCCTTCCCTCCTCCACCACCCCTCCTGGGCTACCTTGGTAGTCATCCCCCTATTTGTGTGATGAATGAATAAAGAATGCATGAATGTGAAGCAACAATGACTTTATTGCCTCTGCAAGCGGTGATTGAAGGGAGGAGGGGCAGGTGGTTAGCTTACAGGGAAGTAGAGTGAACCAAGGGGCGGGGGGTTTCATCAAGGAGAAACAAACAGAACTTTCACACCGTAGCCTGGCCAGTCATGAAACTGGTTTTCAAAGCTTCTCTGATGCGTACCGCGCCCTCCTGTGCTCTTCTAACCGCCCTGGTGTCTGGCTGCGCGTAACCAGCAGCCAGGCGATTTGCCTCAACCTCCCACCCCGCCATAAACGTCTCCCCCTTACTCTCACAGATATTGTGGAGCACACAGCAAGCAGTAATAACAGTGGGAATATTGGTTTCGCTGAGGTCTAACCGAGTCAGTAAACTGCGCCAGCGCGCCTTTAAACGTCCAAATGCACATTCTACCACCATTCTGCACTTGCTCAGCCTGTAGTTGAACAGTTCCTGACTACTGTCCAGGCTGCCTGTGTACGGCTTCATGAGCCATGGCATTAAGGGGTAGGCTGGGTCCCCAAAGATACATATAGGCATTTCAACATCCCCAACAGTTATTTTCTGGTCTGGGAATAAAATCCCTTCCTGCAGCTTTTGAAACAGACCAGAGTTCCTGAAGATGCGAGCATCATGCACCTTTCCCGGCCATCCCACGTTAATGTTGGTGAAACGTCCCTTGTGATCCACCAGAGCTTGCAGCACTATTGAAAAGTACCCCTTGCGGTTTATGTACTCGGCGGCTTGGTGCTCCGGTGCCAAGATAGGGATATGGGTTCCATCTATAGCCCCACCACAGTTAGGGAATCCCATTGCAGCAAAGCCATCCACTATGACCTGCACATTTCCCAGGGTCACTACCCTTGATATCAGCAGATCTTTGATTGCGTGAGCTACTTGCATCACAGCAGCCCCCACAGTAGATTTGCCCACTCCAAATTGATTCCCAACTGACCGGTAGCTGTCTGGCGTTGCAAGCTTCCACAGGGCTATCGCCACTCGCTTCTCAACTGTGAGGGCTGCTCTCATCTTGGTATTCATGCGCCTCAGGGCAGGGGGAAAGCAAGTCACAAAGTTCCATGAAAGTGCCCTTACGCATGCGAAAGTTTCGCAGCCACTGGGAATCGTCCCAGACCTGCAACACTATGCGGTCCCACCAGTCTGTGCTTGTTTCCCGAGCCCAGAATCGGCGTTCCACAGCATGAACCTGCCCCATTAGCACCATGATGCATGCATTGGCAGGGCCCATGCTTTCAGAGAAATCTGTGTCCATGTCCTGATCACTCACGTGACCGCGCTGACGTCGCCTCCTTGCCCGGTATCGCTTTGCCAGGTTCTGGTGCTGCATATACTGCTGGATAATGCGTGTGGTGTTTAATGTGCTCCTAATTGCCAAAGTGAGCTGAGCGGCCTCCATGCTTGCCTTGGTATGGCGTCCGCACAGAAAAAAGGCGCGGAACGATTGTCTGCCGTTGCTCTGACGGAGGGAGGGGCGACTGACGACACGGCTTACAGGGTTGGCTTCAGGGAGCTAAAATCAACAAAGGGGGTGCCTGTACATCAAGGAGTATTTCAGGCAGGACTTCACGGAGGGTTCCAATAAGAAATGGTGCACCTAAGTTATTGTTCTTATTGGAACAAGGAGGTTAGCCTGGCCTCTGATTGATACATGGCTAGATTTACCTCGCTGCACTTTCTCTGTGAGTGACTGCAGTGTGACCTAGAGGAATGAGTCCCCTAGACAGGGGAGGAGGCAAATGAGTACAAAACAAATCTGGTCTATTTCTTGTTTTGACCCACTCCATCTATCTTTTACATCTTTGGCTGGCAGCAGACGGTGCAGAAGGACTGCATGCCATCCACATCTCATGGCTGCTCGGCAGAAGATGGTACAGTACGACTGCTAGCCATCCCCATCTCTTGCCTGCCTGGCAGAAGATGGTACAATACGACTGCTAGCAATCCTCATCTCTTGCCTGCCTGGCAGAAGATGGTACAGTACGACTGCTAGCAGTCCGTATCGCCTGCCCGCTCACCATAAGACGGTTCAATAGGACTGACTGCAGGACTAAAGAGAATGACCTGGTCAAGTCACTCCAAATTTAGTCCCTGCGCCCATGTCTGCCCAGGCGCTCCCAGCCAACGTGGCCAGGAGCACCTCGGACACGACGAGGACGACTACCAATCGTATTGCACCGTCTGCTGCCAGAAGGCAATGGGTTGCTGCTACTGTGTAGCAATGCCGTACCGCGTCTGCCAGCACCCAGGAGACATAGGGTGACGGTTACCTGAGCGGGCTCCATGCTTGCAGTGGTATGGTGTCTGCACAGGTAACTCAGGAAAAAAGGCGCGAAATGATTGTCTGCCCTTGCTTTCACGGAGGGAGGGAGGGAACGGGGGCCTGACGATATGTACCCAGAACCACCCGCGACAATGTTTTAGCCCCATCAGGCATTGGGATCTCAACCCAGAATTCCAATGGGCAGCGGAGACTGCGGGAACTGTGGGATAGCTACCCACAGTGCAACGCTCCGGAAGTCGACTCTAGCCTCGGTACTGTGGAAGCGCTCCGCCGAGTTAATGCACTTAATGCACTTAGAGCATTTTCTGTGGGGACACACACACTCGAATATATAAAACCGATTTCTAAAAAACCGACTTCTATAAATTCGACCTTATTCCGTAGTGTAGACATACCCTGGAACTATGCAACCAGGCAGCAGCAAGACAAAAAAAGAAGCAAATACAGTCCACTGTTGTGTTAAAAGTAAACTAATAAAAAAATAAAGGGAAAGTTTTAAGAAAATGACTTGACAAGGTAAGGAAGCTGTTTCTGTGCTTGTTTCATTTAAATTACGATGGTTAAAAGCAGCAGTTTTCTTCTGCATAGTAAAGTTTCAAAGCTGTATTAAGTCAATGTTCAGTTGTAAACTTTTGAAAGAACCATGCCGTTTTGTTCAGAGTTACGAACAACCTCCATTCCCGTGGTGTTCAGAACACTGAAATTCGACTGTTGTACAGGCAAAAACGCTGGGCCCTCACTAAGCCTCCTCTGTTTCTCCTTTCCGGCGGTCACTGAGCTGCCTGTGTGCATTCAGCTGGGAGTTCATCCATGAGACCCTGGGCTGAGATAATTGACTTGGTTATGTGCAGGTCATTGAGGAAGAGGGTGACCATAAGTCCCATTTTGGCCAGGACAGTCCCTTTTTTAAGTGCTGTCCCCGTCCTTCCTGACTTTTTTGGCAAAAGTGGGCATTTGTCCTGTTTGCTCTTGATCAGTTGGTAAAAGCAAACGGGACAAATGCCCACTTTTGTCAAAAAAGTGGGGTATGAGGGGCAAGTGGCGATGCCAGCTCCATGCAGGGTGGGAGACTGGGCTCAGGTCGGGGGCAGGCAGGTGCTTGAGCGAGCAGCGATGCCAGCCCCAGCCTTTGGGAAATACGGTCATCCTATCCAGTATGTGCATCCCTGCTAGCCTGAGCCCTGCCTGCCCCCCGTGCAGGATGGGGGGCTCGGGTGAGTGACTTGGACCAGCCCCATGGGGGCAGGGGATGGCTTGGGCTAGCCCCGCACGGTGTCCCATTTTCCCTTTGGGAAGCATGGTCACGCTATTGAGGAATGACTTGTAAAGGCCACCTCTGGGCACATGATCGTACTGCAGATGGGTTTTGAATCGATGGGCCTGGTTTAACTCCACTGATTTCAGGGCAGAATTTGACGCACTTTATTTACCAGTGGAAATGTTGCCTGGTGTGGAGGGAGGATGGTTAAAGGTTAGGCCCAAGCATTTCAAGATCTGGGTTTTTTTTCCTAGTTGCAAGTCACTGGATCACTTGACTCCCTCTGCATTATCTTTGGAATTCGAAAGTTCCAGAGCTAGACTCTATACTTTACAATTCTGTCATTAGCTGCTGCTCGTTTGCAACAATGGGCACTGCTACTTTCAGCTCATTCCTATGTTATTCAATTCCATAAAGGGACTCAGCGCAGCAATGCTGATGGGCTGTTGCACCTGCCTTGCCCAAGTTCTCGTCAACCCAAAGAAATGTCAGATGAAGTGTTCCATCTCAATTTGATGGATAGGGTTACCCATCTCTAATACTGACATCAATAAAGAATGGTGTACTTTCTCTTGTGAAGGGGATGATACTACAAGGTACAATGTTGGATCAAAAGAATCCCCAGTTTACACAATTCATGTCATGTCAATGTGATTTATCTGTGAATTATGGTTGTATCTAATGGGGAATGCGAGTGATCATTCCAAAATCACTCCAGTCTCAGGTTTTGGAAGCTCTTCATGCAGGTCATTGTGGCATTGTACAGATGAAGGCCATAGCCTGAAGTCATGTCTGATGGCCAGGGATTGACAAAAAGGAAGGTGAAGTGCTGTACTAGGTGTCAGCAAATGCAGCATGATCCTGGCCCCACTTATCTACACCCTTGGTCACGGCCTCAGACTCCTTGGGCATGTATTCATGTGGATTTTTCTGGCCCTATATGTTTTTGGTCATAGTTGACACTCATTCATAATGGCTAAAAGCTTTCAGAATGACTTCTCTTACAGCTACTAAGACCATTGGACATCTTTGTACCTTGCTCATCCAGTATGGTTTACTGTTACAGTTAGTGAATGACAATGAACCTCAGGTTTCTGTTCTGAAGAATTTCAGAGGTTCCTAGCTTCAAATGGAATATATCACATATGCTCAGCTCTTTACCATCCTGCTAGAAACAGACAGTGGAATGCTTTGTATAAACACTTAAGCATGCCTTAAAAATTAATAAGCCTATTCTGAGTCATCAGCAGCAATTCGACAATTTCTTACTTGTCTACAGGAACACACCACATGCTACTTACCCAGGAGTCACCAGCAACTCTTTTCTTGAAGTGTTCTTTGTGTACCTGTTGGGGCCTGCTGCATCCTGATGTTGCCTCACATATAGCCAAATCCCAAGATATGTAAATTGATCAGTGATGTGAAACTC